TAATTAATTATTACTACTATTTGCAACTATATTTACTAGTATACATCTATTAATAATTTGACCGGAATCTTATTTATTAATGTTAAATTTGAAAATGTATTAAAGTAAAGCATAAATATATTTATAATGCATGTAATGTTTTAAGTTAAACTCAGTTTAAAATATAATATATGTTTGATTTAATTTAGCCCCGATACGTTATTAAAAAGCACAGGGGTCATATTATTGATATCCCTGGTAACTTTCTACATTGGCCGGTTTTATGCAAAGTTATGCAACTACCCGCCTGGACCTATACCACTGCCCATAATTGGCAATGTTTTGAGTAAATATTTTTATTATTAATAAACATATTTTTTATTATTAGTTAATATGAACCGTATTATCAAAATTAATTTAAAAACAGTTAATAAATTTTAAACATATTTATTAATTAACTAATACATAATTAATGTATTATAGTCTATAAAATAAGACTGACCAAAATGCAAAACACTATATTTATTGACTACCTTATGGACTATACTATATTAATCAAAGATATGCCCTTTCTACAACTTACCGCTAGTTTTATTAATAATTTCTATAATTATAAAAAATATTTTCTCAAAAGTGTTTCGAAACTTCACAAACCACTGGAACCTGGAGCTGTCTAAACTCACCAAAGTGTACGGACCCGTATTCACTTTGTGGATTTGACCCTTGCCATTTGTATTCATATGTGACCTGGATAATTGTCGCGAGGCATTTAATAAAATCGAGTTTTCTGGACGTCCTAAAACGTTACTTGGTAAAAAATTATATATTGCCTTAAATTATACTGCAAATAAATACACATTGTAAATAATTTTTGATACCAAGATTATTGTAACTGTTTCTACTGATACTAGCTCATTCACTTAGTGGGGTATGGAGGGTATGAGATTTAAGGGAGTGCCAGGTTTAATAAATAGGTTGCAGTTTTTATTGTACAATAATTGATGAATAACTTTTAAATAAAGTTATGTAATATAATAATATATTACTGAAATTGACAATCTTAAATCTAACTTAAATAAATTTTGCAGCACGAATTAATTTATAATTTTATTAATCAAAAATAATCCAGGTGCCTTATATAACAATGAGCGCCACAGTGACATTATATTCAGCGATTACGGGCACACGTGGGAGAGTTTGCGACGCGTATCGCACACTGCTATACGGTATATACTGTATATAAGCACCCGGGTTATTATTAAGATATATTTATTTAAAATCATTTTTAATTATATATAGAAAATACGCCAAAAGCGATGATTTACCAAAAGTGGTGGACGAGGTTGTCCGGGAAACCGTTGACCTAATTATAAATAAACATGGTCTTAATAAGCCGTTTGCGCCCAAACTACTCGTTTTTAACATGTTAGCCAATATTGTCGGCACCATTGTGTTCAGTCAAAAGTATGTCCACATTACCATGATACTAAGATTTCAAATATTTGATAACGGTTAACAATTACTGGCATAATACATTATTTACTTATTATTAACTATAACGCTATACGTGATGTATGAATTAAATTATATAATCAATATACTAGGTTTGACATTGAGCAAGATGAACTGATAAAGTTCAAGTACTGTTCCACTGACTTTCAAAGTGACCTTGGTATATGGCTGGTTCTATACGAATTTATGCCGATTATACGTTGTTTTATGCGTAATCCACTAATAAAGTACGCAAAGTACAAAGATGAAATCATGAAATACATCATGGACATTTATGCATCCCATAATGACACCTACAATAGGGGTGTTATACGCGACTTTTGCGATACACTTATTATGGCTAAACATGAGGCGGTTGAACAGGATAAGTTAACTGCACCCTATTTTACCGATGAGAATCTAGCTGCATCTATTAATGATCTGTTTATGGGTAATTTATTTATTTTTTTAATTTATTTAAAATAAACTAGATTTTTATAATAAATTAAAAACAAAATTTAAATAAAATAATTCCAATATAATAGTTTTAAAATTATCTGGATAGAATTACCATTAAAATAATGGGAAGGCATATACTCTACCAAAATATTTAATCAATAAAGATTACAATTGACCAGAACCATTTATATGTTTTTATTTACAGGTGGTGTTGAGACCTCTAGTACGACATTTCAATGGATGTTACAATTCATGGCTTATTACCCGAAGTACCAGCAAAAGTTGCGTGATGAGATTACACGCGAGATTGGGGATAAAGTACCCATGGTCGATGATAAACCTAGATTAAATTACGTGATGGCATACATATCGGAAATGTTACGATTCAGAAATCCCGTCTCAATTGGCATTAGTCATAAAGCAATGGTAAATTGTAAACTAGGTAATTATTCATTTATATTTACAATATTTCATAAATTTCAATATTAGAATGTATATTAGAAATAAATGTCTAAATTTGTTAGTGAGTTCATACTCAAAAATTAATTTTAATTTTATCAAATATTAAATGTTCATTTTATTAGAATTTATATATGTATACTCAATGATTAATTTAAAAATATTAATATAGACTACAAAATTTGTTTATTAAATATTTCTAACATAAGTAAATAATATGCTAGTTAGTTCATAATAATAATAACTTTTAATAAATTTACTTTTATTTAATCACCAGGCAAGCATATCATACGGGAAAACACTTGTGTACTATTACACCAACACAGCATTTTAATGAACCAGGCTCACTGGGATAATCCGAATAAATTTATACCTGAACGTTGGTTTGACAACGAGGGTAAATTTATATCCAACAAACCCGCGGCTTATATACCATTTAGTTACGGTCGCCGTGTATACCCTGGTGAAACGTTGGCTATAAATGACTTATTTTTGACCCTTATCAGATTTATGCAATTAACCAATGATTATAAAATTGAATTTTATGGGGACAGAGATAGTATGGATAGCGCATTGGAGCCAGATCCTATTAATTTGTGGCTACAGTTCCCCAAACAATTTCAAATAATATTAAAAACAAAGTAATTTGTTATGAAAATAATTTGCTAGGGTGGATAATTAACATTGTAGAGCATAGCAATTATTTTTACCCATATTATTTATTAATAATTTTTATTGTATATTTATTATTAATTAAAATGATAAGTTAAACTAGGTGAAACAAATAATTTTATTTTTTTAAACTCAGATGACTTTACACTTATTTTGATAGAAATTTTACATCTAGTACACTTTTATACTTTTTAAAAGCTTCTCCAAAAATATTTTGTAATTAAAAAAGCTAAGTCTAAAAGTAATGTTAATTTTAATTGACAGTAGTTGTAATGTACTTTTTATCATGGTTATAATGTAAGAGGTTTTATTTTGTTAAATAGGTATTAATTATAAATATTTTTTAATTCAGAGAATGTGTTAATTTTGACATTTTATTTGTTATAAAATTTTATTTAAACTAACTCTCTAAAACAAACCATGCATTTAACATCAACAAAATTATAGCATAAATAATAAATTATCAGTAATAATCTATATCAAATAAATAAATTATGAGCAGCATATTTTTTGTTTTTTAGTATTTTAGTTGTCACTGATTTAAACAGTGTCAATCCAATTAATTAAATTTATTAATGTAAACCTTAACACCATTAAATTATTAAAACTGTAATTTATATATCCTTGATACTTATTATTTTAATAGTTTATTTATGTAATTATTTGTGGACCCCCACTGCGTAAAAGTATAAAATAAATAATATCTAAATTATTTATATTAAACTTTTTTAATTGCATTAATTGTTTAAGCATGATTAAATTTATTAAATAGGACTCATTGTTATTAATAAAATATTGAATTTTTAGATGCAACTTACCTTGCAACATGAAAGATAGTTACCGGATTAATCTTAAGATATTGGCTTGCTTAATAAAATGTTGCATGATGTTTATGACCTTAAATTACAAATAATAAATTTCGCTTAAAATAATAAAGCGCAAACAATAATATGAATGTGCTAAACATAAACATAGAAATGACCTATGTCAATCACCTTGTTATTCTATAATAAATATTTCAAAATCATTGCACCTTGTCAAAATCTTTTAGTAAGATTTATTTTATAATTTTTATAAATAAAAGTATAAATTATATTCTCTTGCTAATCGTTTCCAGCAGTTTAATGCAAATATATTGTATATAGTAAAATAATACATGTGCAGTGATCCTTATAAACCTGGTTAAATTGTTTAAAATTAAAAATAAACACGACCTCGAGTTTACCAATTATCTCATAAAATAAATATTTATTAGTATGCAAGTTATTATAATTTTTTAAAATACAGTTTTTTGTAAGTAACTATTTTAGATGTTTAAAATAACTTTGTCGGTTGTCTGTGTCTATCGACGATTTTTAAATTACATTTTATTTATGATTTTAATTTAAATAATAATTAATTTGGAGATCCAAATATTAGCTAAGTGTTAAATATAAAATTATATACATAACATAGAAGTTTATATTTTATTTAAATTGTAATTAACAAGTAATTAAATTAATAATTAATTATATTATATTAATTTTTAGAAAATAATATGTACAATAATTTAATTACGTAAACATTATTACAAAACAAAACAATGTAACTAACTGTAATAAATTTTTATTTATTAACTTTTATAGATAATTTATTAATTTTTAAATAATTGGTGCTAATCATTGTAGGGAAATTATATATTTAATTTTTTAAACTTATTGTCTTGATCCATTTTTAACAGCATTAGCATACGTGTATGGTTTCCTTGAGGACCTAGTATCACTTATTTCAATGTCAACCGTGTGTTGTATGTCGATATTGTACTTGATCAATTCTGTAAGCCTTTTATTAACGAGGTCCAATAATATATTATTATCGTTAATCGAGTACTCATTTTCAGTAATTATTGAATTTTGTTGTTTTATTATAAACAATAAATTGTCCAGGTTCTCTTTGACACACCTTATTAGATTGATCGGGCACGTTTCACACTTTGACAGTTCAGTTAAAATTAAATTTTGATAATTTTTAGCATCAGACACAAAATTAGCAACATTGTCTATAGACATAATAAATTATTTTATTTTAAGCGACCTGCCTCAAATAATTTTCAAAAGCAAAATTATTTTGCTTATGTTTGTAATATTTTTAACACATATTGCAATATAATAGAAAACATAGCGTTAATCCATAGTTGATTACCGGTTAAACAATGGGTTGGTTACCTAGCTACAATTGAAATAATCAACTGAAATACAATATAAATAAAGTTAATATTTTAGGTATTTATATACAGTATTACAAAATAATATTTATATGACTTGTAAAAATTAAATCACACTGATAATATATTATGTCAAATATAATGAAATAAACCGCAATGTTATCTCAATTGATTATAAATTGACATATCCGTATGAAATAACACAAAACTATTTTTGACTAGTTCATATTTAGTTGAGATAACGGGTAAAAAAATAATATTTACTGATTGACATAGCATAATAATTTTAATGTTTATATTTAATACACATTTTATGTTTAAATATTTAATCATTGAAATTTTCCACCATGTGTAGTTTATTCACTAGGTCCTTTTTCACGACATTAGCGTAAGTGTCCAGCACAATTTTGTTTGCTAATCCAGTTGCTATGGTGTCCGACCTTTGCATTACGTGGACGTCGTGTTCAATCAATTCAGTAATCCTTTGATTTATTTTATCCAAACGCGAGATGTTATCAGTTAATGATAAGTCATTTTCGGATATTATTTTGTTTTGAGTTTTAATTATGTTTAGTATACTGGATAAATTTTCCTTGACACAAACTTTCACATGTTCTGGACAATTTTTGATTTTATTAAGTTCACTTATAATAGCATCCTGGTGTTTAATAGCGTCCAATAGATATTTATTTACATTAACGGTATCCATGTTTTAATGTAAAGTAGATTGAGTAAAGTATTTTATAAATGTTCTCTAGGTACAAAAAAAATTATTTATAATATCAAACGGTTATAAACATTTATTTTTATAGTTAATATTAGTAGTAGATAAATTTTTAAATATTAAAAATAACTATAATGAAAATATCAAATAAGCAAATCAGTAATAGATTAACTGATTATGTATTATTAAATTTATAAAATTTATCTAAAATAATTTTGATTTCATATTTTATAAAATGTGTCTGTTTATATTCTGATAAACATTTCAATGTAAGTATAAAAAATAATAAAAATATAATTTAACTCTAAATCCAACAACATTACAATTGTGTCAAAAATATCACATGTTATGTTAAATTTAAAGTGAATTTTACTAGCTAACCATAAAAATATTATTTGTTACGAATTAAATAAAATTATTTTTTAACATAAAAAGCCATGTGCCCAATATGATTTTGTAATATTTTTGAAATTAATATAAGTCACAATTTAAGCATCATTTACAGTTATTTTAAAAAATTATTATTTTGATTATTATTTTATATAAACAAATTAATTTGATTATTAATTATTAAATAAGTCCACTTTACACAAATTAAAATCACATTGAAACCTTTAATATCTTAATTGAATTACACTTTGAATATCAGCAAGTTAATTAATTTCATCTTATGTATTTTGTGTATTAAAAATATTATACATTTGATTTTAACCAATAAATGCGAGATTTTCATTAAGACATTTGATATAATCTAGCTTATTAATTTAATTTTCACCAACTTTATCTGATTGTATTATTTTATATTTATATTATAAAGTATCTTTTACTTTTATAATCCACTCCTGAGACATTTGTCATACTTTGAATAGTTAAGTAAAATAGTTATCTAGATAAATTTTAATTGTAATTATTATGAATTAAATGTTAACTTTAATATGTTTACAATTTTTGGGTCAGATGTATTAGGTCGTTCAATATTGTTGTTTCTGGCTATAATTTAAATTTCTCCGGAATGGCTTAATATTTTCAAAATCGGTTTGTTTTATTGAATAGCCTAATAATGTGATGATTTTGGGCACAAAATATAATTTTTTAATTTTAACGCTTTCTACGAAATCTCGGGACCATCTCCGAGACACGTTTTCCGGTCACTTCCGGTGACCACATCCGGTAAGTGTGGTATGTGTCCGATAGAGGAACAATAGATCTTTCATTTGAGCCCTTAATCGCTAAAATCCATTTACAAACAATAAAAATATAATGTTTTGAATTTCACGAATTTCCTTGAAATTTGAGTAAATGTATAAGATTACGCAAAAAGTTTATGCATTTATAAAAATTGTTGCTATTATTCTAAACTAAATTAAATGTAAATATTTTCAATTAAATAGAGCACTTGTATTAATTTATAAATTTATGACAAGTATTATGAAATTAAAATTTCTACTTAACATTTAATGACTAATATTTCCTATTGAATAAATGTTAAAAACGACAAACAAAATATTATATTAATAACAGGATATATATAATGAATCATGAATTTGCAATAATAAGTTATATAAAGCTATGAAACTTTAAAATTCATAACATTTGTTTTAAAGTCTTTCAAGTTAATAAGTTAACTAAATATTTAAAATAAGTTTAAAAAGTAATTATTTAAATGGCACTATTACCCATAGCTGCGCTATTGGGTGGTACACTACTCTATCATTATTTGAGATTGGATCCATAT